AATATAATTAGCAAAACCCGTTGTTTTTCTAGTGACTGACCAAATCAGCTGAAGAGATGAAGGGCTCAGGCACAAATTTCCGGGGGTAGGTTGGTAAGAGGGCAGGCATTGGATCTGCTCATTTGTCAAGAACTATTTGGACTCCTCAATTCATAGAAAGAGCCACAGAAATAAAGATAAAATTATTCTATCCATAGAAATAAGGGTAAAAAGTTGGTATTAGGCACATCATGAGCCCCATGTTACCCTTTCCATCTACAGTAAACCTGGCCCTTGGCAGCACCTTTGCTTTTCAGTTATTGACTTTCGTGATACATTTCAGCACTGGGCTGAATATCCTGTCTGCAAGACCCACTTTTTTACTCCACAGTTACACAGCACATCTCTTTGAGAAAAAAAAAAAAAAGTAATATTTTCTGAGGTGATTACAAGTTTGGGATGACAACCTCTGTAGATATTCTCCACAATTAAAGATCTAAGACAGTCAGACTATGATCAGCCTAAATTTGACTTACAGCCTTGTGATACTCTCCTTTAAATGGCTGTGATACACTAAAGTGGCTGAAAAACCCCAAACCCAAAGTGAACAGAAGATTGTTATTTAAGAGGATGCTTTGGTTGGGGCTGCAGCATTTGTCACAATGTTTTCCTTAGCAGTAAGGGAATAAAGACAGAATTACTTGATCTAATTTACAAATACAAAAAGATGACTGAAAGAGTAAATGAGAGGGAGGACAGGCATAAACATCCTGGAGAGTGTAGTAAGCTGGGCCCTTCCAAATTAGCTAAGTCAGGCAAATATAAAGCCCTGGGCAGTTTTGGGCTGCTTTTCAGAGCTCCTTTGGCATGTGTGACCAACCTCCTCCCTTCCTGTGCCAGGCCTTTGTCCATAAACCAAGGTTTGATCTGCTTTGCATGGAGTTTGTGGGGCAAAGGAGTGTCCCAGCCTGGTTCTGCAGCTGGAGATTCAGAAAACAATTGCTTTATGGAAGGGACAAAGGATTGCAACAGAAATACCTTTTGTAAGGATTTCCCATCCACGGCTGTGTAGGGAAATCTATCATTTAGTAGCATTTAATCAATTTTTCACTGCATTGGATTGGAATTATGTTAGTTTTGACTAATCATACCATTAGATTTCATTTAATCTCCTCTGAACTCAAACACCTTCTGAATTTTTTACTGACTTTTCTCCTAAAACATCAATGTTTAACATTTCTGATAAAAACCTTGTAATCTTATTCAGACAAAAAACATACACTGAGCTTTCAATCCTTATTCAGAGAAGTTTATTTTGTCTGGGTCTCATTTTATTATGAAAGTTAGCCAGCCTGTGGGCTTAGCTAGAATGAGAATTTCTCTCCTTTGAGCAAATTCCTGTGGAAAAAGGAAACCTAAATAAAAACAAAGCGATACCTTTCTAAAACAGCCTGATAAGCAGGAGGAGCCCCAGCTTTTGAAATGTGCAGACTGGGCCCCCCTCAAAACCTAACTACCATAATCCCTGCATAACAAATCCAGGAACTGAAACCGAGGTTGGTCCTTTCCATTTTCTGTGCTCCAGAAGGGGAATGGGATCTGCTTTTCAACTTAGGCTGTGGTTATCTCTAGAGCCCGACAGAACACTGGCAATGCTGAAATCCCATAACATTCCATGAGCTCAGGCAGGGAACTGCTTGATGAATAGGCCTGTGATAATGTGCAGGAAGGAAATTTCATTTTAGTCTTATGGAGCCTATTTAAAACAAAAGCAAAAAAAAACAACAAAAAAACCAAAACAAACCAACAAAAAGAAAAACCCACAAAACAAACAAATAAAAAACCCCAAACAACCCAGCACAGAAAAAAATGGAAGTTATTAATTATGTTAATTTCATTATACAGTTCAGGAAAATTCCAAGTATGACCAGGGAGTAGATGTGGTGATTAAGGAGAGAGCGCTGAGTGGGCCAGAGTTCCTGGTTTGGGGAAGTTGGGAACGATCAGCAGGGTGGGAAAGCTGGTGAGCTTTGGACAAGTGGGGAACCAGAAGATGGAAGGACACAGGGATGGGATGGCAGGTTTGGGAAGGCAGGAGCACAGCTCTGTTTGCCTGCTTTGATTACCTGCAGGAAGGGTCAGAGCCTGGCAGAGCTGCAGGGAGACACAGCTCATCCTCGGGGCTCACAAGGCACTCACCTGGTGTTGGTTTTCTTAGTTTTTACACAGATGGGGCAACTGAGAGGCGTTTTAAAAGAGTTTATTCTATTATCAGTCTCGATGGTTAGTGAGAAACAAGAGATGTAAAACTTAACACTATTCTATCAAAAGCTAATTTATTTCTTGGTTACAATACTTTATAAATGTTTTTCAGCTTATTAGTTTTTGCTACACAATTTCACTATTACTTCTAACACTAATCACCTATTTTTTTTCTCCACGTGGTCTTGCTGCAATGCATCTTTCACAGCTCTAATTCTCTAAAATACCTAGTCTTTTTGTAAGGCTATATCTTGAAACTTGTTGAAATTTGGTTTTAGTTTAATTTCTCTCTTAACAACGTCATCTCTATTCTATGGCTTGCTTAAGTTAGCACACTTTATCTTAGTGTTTGTAGACAGATGTACAAGACTGTCTGAGCTTTCTGTCAGGTTTTGAGAATTCTTTACAAATCCTTTTCCCACAGTCTGGGACATCATTTTTGCTTGGAAATAGTTTTTAGGGCATCGCGAGGGAAAAAAAAAAAAGGTGTGATTTTTCCTTTTTCTTTTCCACTTGGAGATAGGACAAGGGTGTAGAGGACTAGTAGTACTTCCCTGTAGGATTTTCCCCAGAGGGAGTGGCAAGGCTTGGCTTAGTCAGAAGTCCCCGAGCAAAGGGGAGCAAAGAGGGCAAAAGGGAAGAAATCTGAGGTGGGAATGTGACTTCCCTCATCTTGAGCACTTCTGAGTTCTAAAGGCTCACATTTGTGGAAGTGCTTCTGCTGGGGGGACTTTCCTCTGTTCAGACCTTTCCCTGGGGACTGAACAAGCGTGACTCCAAACCCAGCAGCTCCGGAGCTGCCCTTCATTCCCCAAAGCTCCCAAACACGAAATGCAGGCATACTTATCTCTGAGAAATGGAAATGCTGAGACCCACATGCTGATTACAAGCTTGTCATGCTGGAAGCTGCCAGGATGGAGTTTACCCACAGCTCGCAACACTTCCTCCAAGCAAAGGTCTCAGCTCTTACTGGCAATTCTGCAGGGTTTTCCTCTGCCAGGCCCTGGTGATCAATACTGCTGGCACAGAAGGATGAGGAATTTGCGGTCGCTGTTTCTACAGGAATGGTGGGAAAGGGGTAGATCCCTAATTCCCAGCAAGACCTGCCTGAAATGATGAGTTAAGTAGCAAGAAATATTTCAGGAGCTGAGACTGACTGCGTGACTCATGCAGTAGCTGCTCTCAAGAGCAGCCTTTTAACTCCCTTTATTTCTGAGGCCATGGACATTTGCTACCTCGTGGTTCACCTCTCCGTGAAGAATCAACACCTCGGAAGGTTTTGAGAACAAACTCTACCAGAGCTTGGCTGAAAAATCTGCCTAAGCTGTGCCCAGAACTTATGGAGAACTGCAATGGCAACGTGAGGGAAAAGGAAAAATGAATAGGAACGGACGAGACAATTCCATTTTATTTTAAACCATTGTATTTTGTGGTCAAAAAGCCTCAAGTTCTTCACACGTTGACAGAAAAGCTGTGTTTTGCTTGGGGAGAAAAGGTCATTTCAACCCCCATGTATGGGGCTTGGGGAAGTAAATCCATGGAAATTAAATCTTGTAAATACAATGTTATTAAGAAAATACAGTGGCATTACCAAAATGTTTTTGGGGAACAATGAAAAGGACTTTCAACAATTGAAGAGTTTGTTTTATACCTCATTTATTCAACTGAAATAACTGGGCTGGGTGATTTATTACATGTGCCATAACCTGTTATGCAAAACAAAGTGATTTGTAAAGCAAATATCTAATACAAAACGACAAAGCAGTGAGCTGCTCCAGAAAATGCAGAGATACTTGGAAAGCAGAAGAATAAGGAGCAATATTTACAGACGGAATGGAAGGGGAGAATCTGCCCATCAAGTAACCAGTTTCTTGCTGGATTATCAGCTTGAATTAACTCCTGGGGAGCAAGAACCAGGATGGAAACAAGGGCAAGGATTTGGTGAGGAAGGGCCATGAGACATCTCCCTGCTGGTAATGGGAACCATCAGGCTGGGCCCAGTTGTTCAAGGAACTGGGCTTTTTCCTTCCTTTCAATGCCATTGATTGTGTGGATCCACGAACAAAGATATCAAGGAAAAAACCAACACTTTAAAAAACAACGGTACAAATACAGCCTTAAATTGCTTATTATAACCAAAATTTCCATTGTCCATGTGCAAATACCACGGAGTGGATTTTCAGGGATTTCAGTTCCCAAAGTCTTGCACCCATTAATTCCAAGACAACAATAAATACCAAATCCTTTCCCATTTAGCTCCCAGGCTTCTGAAGGCATTTCATTTTCCAGCTGGAGCACTCATCCCAAAATTCCCTTCGCTTCACAGAAACCCTGACGCTGTTATTTTATTTAACAGCACTGAAATAATTAATATTGAAAGAATAAATTGCTAGTATAGAAGTAAAGGTTTAAAGGTTTACTGAGCGGTGGCAGCTTTTGGTGACTGAAACGTGTAGGACTAAAATCAAACACGTTACGTGCGGATCGTAGGGATATACAGGGATATATCTGGAGACGCAAATCCTAGCCTGACAGACAGATGAAGCAACTGTTTGCAGCGACTGAGCGGCGGCTATTAGGGCTCAGTTAGAGCCGTGACGGGCTCGCACGGTTTGTGGACTCGCCGCAGAGCACGGAGAGGCGCTTTGGAGCCCGTTCGTGCGGGGCGCGGGAGGCGGCGGGCCCGGCAGCCCCTCAGGGGCGGGCCCGGCAGCCCCTCAGGGGCGCGCCACTATTGTGTCTGCCGCTCGGCCGCCCGCCGCGCGCCTCTCTCTCTCTCTCTCCCGTGGTAGCAGGAGCAGCGCGGGCGTTGGGGCTGGAGCGTGGCTGAAGCGGCCATTCCTACCGAGCGAGAGAGAGCGCAGCGTGTCCCCCCCGGGCTCAGTGGCGCACAGGGTGAGGGAGGGCGGCGCGGCCCCTCCGGACACCCCGAGCGGGCCGGGGGGGGAGCGGGAGCGTGAAGGGAAAATGACCGTTGGGCGCGAGGCGGCCGCCCCGCGCCGTCACGTGACCGCCGCCCCGCGCGCGCCGAGGGAGGGGCGCGGCCGCGTGCGCGCTCCCGCCGTCCGCGCTCCGCCGTGACGCGCCCGCCGCTCTCTCCGCTCTCTTGTCTCTCTCCCGCCCTCCCTCCCTCCTTCACAGAGATGCCCTCGGCTACCAACAGCACCATGGCGAGCAGCACCACCGGCAGCGCCACCGGCAAAGCGGGACCGGGCAGCGAGGCTGCCCCGGCGACGGCGGCCCCGCAGGCGGCGGCGGGTGTGAACATCACCACGGTGCAGACCGAGGCCATGAAGCAGATCCTGGGGGTGATCGACAAGAAGCTGCGCAACCTGGAGAAGAAGAAGGTGATCCTCACGTCCCCTCAGACCCTCCAGCCCATCCCGGGTGCCCACCCGCCTTGTCCCCCGCCTTCCGGCCGCCCCTGCCCCCGAGCCGGTCCGGGCTGTTTCCCTTCCGCTCCCTTGTGCCGGGCCCTCCGCCGAGCCCTCCCGGGTTGTTCCCGGCGTGGCCCCCAGAGGCCGCCTGCTGGAAGGTTCCAGAAGGGCGAGCGCCGCTCCCCTGGCCTGTCCCCTTCCCCTCCCGGGGTCCCCCTGCCCCATCCCCGGCGGTCCTCCCGTCGCCCCGGGACCCGGCCCGGTTTCCGCCCGGAAGGGTCTCGGCTGCCGACCCCCCTTCGCCCCCGCTGCCCGGAGTCCCCTCGGCGGCGCCGCTCCCTTCCCCTTCCCCCTCCTTCCGCCTTTTGTTCCCCGCGGCGGGGCCTTTCCCAGCCGCGCCATCCCGGGAATCTGCTCCCCACATCCCCGCTCCGTGCGGCGGCCGGAGCGCGTCCGGTGCCCGCGGAGCGGGCGGGCAGAGGCTGCGGTGCCCCCGGTGCCGGGCACATGGACGCGGAGCTGTAACATGGCGGCGGCCCGGCCTCCCCGGCGGAGCTCATTGTGCCGCCCGCACAAAGCCGGGGCCACCCCACCCCGCCCCAGTGTCACCGCTCGCTTTCCATCGCCCTAAGCTCAACTCTTTGGGAGCCTGAGCCCAGCTGGAAGCGGCCTTTCACGGGTTATTTTTAGAAAGAGCAGCTACTCAGTCCCTGGTGCTCGGGCGGTTCGAGTTGTGGCACAAGAGGAAAAGGCTGTCGTGGTTACTCGCGGCGCGTTTTGCACCCTCTCGGTGGTGGCAGATTAAATGAGCTTCTCGGGGCTTTGCAACCTCCAGAGCATGAGGTGTCCATCAGAAAAAGAATTAATACATAGCCTCAAGACTTGCCTCAAAACACCACAGTGCCAAGCTAAAATTACCAAAAAATAATTTTATATTTGTACCAGAGCCCTAAATCTCTTATTATTTTTAGAAGTGAATAAGCACAGTAACTGATCTATTAATTTTTTTTAACTGTCACTTCTGATAATTTTCATAGTGTTCCATATTGTATAAGGTGGAAGTATTCCCAGTAAATTAGTCTGTACAGGTGGGTTGTAAAGGAGAGAAGCTGTGCTTTACCTATTAATAATACACTGTGTATCAATAATACACTGTATAAATACACTGTGTACAGTGTAGCTTCCTGCTTCAAAACTGGGTGTGGGATTTTCCTGGATTTTAGAAATGACATGGCAAAAAGCAGCAAGCCAGGACATCTTAGGTAAGTTTTAGAATCAGAGGAGCTTTTCTCTGTGTCTGTTGTATGTAGACAGGGCAAGATGATTGTCTTAAACTTGGCATTAATACACAGGAATATCTGTACAACCAATACTGGTCCTCAACTTGAGAAAGAGAGCAGATCTTTCTGTCTCTAGTTGTTCCTATACAAAAAAAATGTTTGAAAATTAACTGTTGTACCCAATGTACACAAAAATCCTCTGAAAATATTTTTGTTTATTATGTTAAAAGCGTGTATTTTAAAAACCAAAATCAGCAAGTGAACATTCTGACCTGTTCTGTACTCGGGAGTAATGAAGAGGCTAAAGCACGGTGTCACTGGTGTGAGGGTCCTTGGGAGCAGTGTTTTTATTTACCTTTAAACAATTTACACTTGCCTTAGCCATTCCATTCTATTTGAGTGGAGTTTTAGTGTTTTACCAAGCGAGTAGAGGGAACAAAGTGCCTTTTTTTTCCTGGACATGGCTTTTGTTGGGAGATATTCCATGAAAATTACTGAAAGCATTTATTTTTTGAATACTCTGTGCTGGGCAATGTGGGCTTAAAGAACAGGCAAGGGTTGGGGCTTAAAAAGGAAAAGCTCTGTGCTGTCTCTCACTGATGAATTAAAGTTCAAAGATTCCTAAATCTTAATGGGCTGAAGTTCTGAAACTTCCTGAAGGAGGACTCGTAAGCACTACAGAAGTCATGAGAGAAATGGGTTTGGGTGTGTTAAAGCAGAGGAACTCCTTTGTGGGCTTGAGCCTCTCCCTTGGTGGGGGAACCAAGAGTTCTGTAGTAAATAATGCCCTTTGGTAAAGAGAGCAGTACCTGCTTTGTGTCTTAAAACACATCTTGTGCACATCAGGATTTCCTTATATATTGCATCTTTGGACAAGAATATATTTTTAATTTTTCCAACCATCCAGAAAGTAAAATTGTTCTGGAAACTGCACAGACAGGAGTGGGTGAGAAATGCAGTAAATCTCTCTGGGAACTTGTGCTCAGTTGGACAGTTAATCCTTTCTTTGTCAGCAGCTGCTAACGAAGGCCAGCAGAGATGATTTTCAGAGTTTTGTGTCACAGAATGAACACAAATATTTAGACACACATTTCTGAAGGATGGAAAATTACTGCTCTGGAAGAGGTACCATCTTAGGTTTTAAATAAAAGGAGGAAAGGTCTCTCTTCATAAAGAAATTAGAATTTTTGGAGTAAAGTTTGTCAGGTTTACCTGTAAACACAGAGGATAAAATAATGTGACTATCAAAATACAGATTGAAATAATATTTATAACTTTGGTCTGTACTAGTTTGAATGTTTCTGTATAAACTAAAGCCACTGGATTATTAGTTACACTTTCATTTTCTTTTCCTAAATGTGATCTCATTTGAAAAAATGAGTATTTCTTTTGTTAAAAGGGACTGGGATAAATTGAATTGCTGTTCAGAAGTGGATGTGCAAACATGGCCTGAAAACGTCTATGTTCCCCTCATCTCTTTGTATTTGGAAAAGATAGGAATGCTGTCCTCTGTTCTTAGATGACAAGATGTTTGTGTGTGCATGGAAGGGGGTAATTAAAGGGGTATTTTCTCTCCAGGGCCTTTGGATGTGCAGCTCAAGTTTATGTTGACAAGCTTAGTTAATTTGAAAGTTGCCTGGACTCCTCCAGGTGTTTGTCAGGTGTCTGGGGTTAGAATCCTGCCAGCTGTCCACGTTCCCTAGGAGAAAATATTTCACCTTCAATTTCTCCTTCTCCCTGGCTCTTCTGTTTTGTTGTTTTTAGAGGAGAAAATCCTTTCCAAATTTTAAGCCAATTAAATGTAGATCAAACTCTGGTTTTGTTTCAGGGCTGAATGAAGAAAAAACCCAGTTGTTTTTGCTTTCATCTTGTGTAATAGGGCATGAGCCCTGTAAGAACAGTTCATCAAAGAAATGTTCTGCCAAAGGGGCAAAATAATTAATTTGCTAGCACGTGGACTAGGAGATGGGCAGATGTTCACAGAGTAACATGTGAGCTTAAAGCTTGATGTGAGCTTGGTGTCTGGAGTTGGAAAGATGGCACATACTGCCTGTGCCTGGTAACTTGAGCTGCTGTCACTTTATCAGCTTGTCTGAGTTTCCTCCTGAGTGTAACCCTGGCTGGGGTGCAGAATGAGCAGCTCACAGGTGCTGCTGTCCTTGCTACACAAGAACTCTCACAGAACAGCAGGTGGACGTTGGAAGTTGATGTGACTTGGTTCAGTAAAATGTTGGATTTCCCATGGGAAACAGGAGCCTGTAGTAAAAGCTAGGATCAGTTTTCCATTCTGGTAGCAGGAAGTTTGAAGCTGCCCATTGGTAGCAGCTCTCTCAATGCCTTTGTCCATGATTTGGGCCACTTGGATGCTCAGGCTTGTGAGTGGCTCCAGAACCTCTCCTTGGGAGGTTTGGTTTGAAATTAATCTTTGGAGATTTAACATGGAACAAATCATAATATTCATTTCAGACAGTGTATTATAAGCCTGAATCTTTCTTTGAAACCTCTCTTAGTAGGAATTTTGGGTGTCAAGCTCCAGGTCTAAAAATCCAAGCAGTTTGTCTATGAAATCTTGTGGTGGTTGGTGCTTTGAGGTTTCAGGCTGCTCTGTTTTGGTTTTAACTGGTTATTGTAGAGCAGGGATTGTCTCACAGTGAGGTCAGTTAACTGGATCCATGATGAGTCCAAGGAGCTGTGAAACATCTTCTTGTTTCAGTTTTTCAGATGCTGCTTTGGGGTTTGGATCATGGTTTTTGATTGAAGAAGAAGACGGGCAGAATGTGTTGGGAAAGACACATTTCTGCTCTAGAATTTACTTGTAAAAGTAACTTTTTGGAACAAAAATTATGTGTAGAGCAAAATCCATATCTCCTACAGTGTAGTCAACTTCCTTGAAGATTCAGAATGTTTCTGTAGGAAATCCTGTATGGAGGTAATTTGGAAAGAACATCTCTGCAGTCACCAAAACTTGGGGTTCCACTCTCCTGTGACTTAATTCTGGTTACTGAAGAAGCTTTTTCTGCCTCTGGGGCTAACGGATCATGAAACTGCACTCTCAGAATTGATGTGTCCTTGTCCTTTGTTTAAAAACTAATACATTATGCAGATATTTTTTCCTGAACCATCAAACTTCCCAGACTGTGGGGAAAAACCCTCCCACCAGAATATCTACTACTGTTGCTCAAAAAATCAATTCAGTTTAAACAGAAGACCTGTAAATGTTTTGTGTTCTGGAGTGTTGGTGTTACTGTATCCTTCCATCTTCCTGGTTCCAACTCGGGACTGAAAGAGCTTCTCAGAACTGGTGGCTTTTGCGAGGTTCTGAACTTCCTTGCTCAGTGTTTTTGCTTTTTGATTTTTTTTTTCTTGTTTTTTTGAGAAAATAGGAGACTAGTTCTGGTTTGTGGGGTGTTTTATCATTTCTGGGCAGTTTTAGCTGCAGTGCCATGAGTGAGTATGGAGGTGATGGTGGACAGCAGACAAATTACAATGCAGAGACATAAAACAGGTTAGCAAACTTCTAATTTTTAACTTGGCATTTATTTGGCTTCAGTGCAAACTGTATAACACAGCTATTTTAAATTCTGGATTATCTTAATTGCTGTTGTGCTGTCAAAAACATTAATTTGGTTTTTGAGATACCTCAGGAGACAAACTTGGAATGTCCTTTCCATCTTTTCTTACCTTATGGCAGAGTTTGAATTACTAAAGATTTGCTCCAGCTGTTGGCAGAGGTTACCTTGTCACCTTGCAGCTTGTTGTGCACACTTGTGCTGCTGTAATTGGTAGAACCATAGCATTGAAATTATCTGGTTAAATATAGAGCCTCCCTCCTGCTCCTGACCCCCTTTTTTAAGGGTTATTTTTAATCTGATGATTCCAGTGATCCAGTTTGCAGCACAGCACTGGAAGTGGTGGCTCAGTGGTCAGACATTTCTAAAACCAGGGTAGGTTTGCAGGGTAATGCCAGGTAACTGCAGTTTTTGAGACAATTCAGGATGATGTTTTTGAGACAATTCAGAGGAAGTGAAGAGAACTGTCTATTAGTCCAATAAAGTAACTCCGTTTTGGATTCCTGTTAAGGTAGAATCCAGGGTGTAGTTAAGCAATGAGCACCACAGTCCCAAGAGCCTGCTAGTGGTGCTTTTCCCCAGGAAACTCCAAAATACTTCAGGTATCTCAATGGAAAAAGCTGAGTTTTTGAGACAATTCAGAGGAAGTGAAGAGAACTGTCTATTCCAATAAAGTAACTCAGTTTTGGATTCCTATTAAGGTAGAATCCAGGGTGTAGTTAAGCAATGAGCACCACAGTCCCAAGAGCCTGCTAGTGGTGCTTTTCCCCAGGAAACTCCAAAATACTTCAGGTATCTCAATGGAAAAAGCTGAAGCAGAGTGGCTTGCTGCCTGCAGAACTGTGAGTTGCTGACTCATGAGCCCTCAATGCACAATTCATGGACTCACTTTGCCACTGGATTATTTTTTTTCCTGCTGGTTTGTTTTTCATGCTCTGAGATCTGTCTGAGGAGTGAGGGTGAAGTTGTGTAAGGAGAGGTAAGATGAAGAGTCTTGCAGGTACTGCAGTAGGTTCCTGAGCAGGAATTTCACTGCAGTTGTTTCACAGCTCTAATGCTGCTCTTGGATTGCTGTTAGTTGACAGTGCAGATTATAAAGGAAGGCATTTTACTTAATATTTCTGTGTAATGCAGCTTTGGATCTTAAAAGTGTCTTTGCTATGATAGAAGAATGCTTACTTGGCAGTCAGAATCTTTGTGGTAACATCTAACTAAATGCACATTGGCTTGTCCTCTGCATTGCAGCTGACAGGGCTTTCCTTCCTCTGCTTTTACCTTCCCAACAAGAATAGTTTGTAAGAAGTAACATGAAGACAAGTAACTTTTCTTCTGTTCCTAACAGAAAGACATATTACCCTTGGCTTTTTAGTTGAATAAAAATAAGCAAAGCATTTGCATTAGACCTTAGAGTATTTGATCATTCAAGAAAAACCTTGTGCATTGTTCAGTATGTTACTGCAATAGCTTAATCTGAAAGGACCAACCATGCATGGAGAAAGTATACAGAAAAAATTGTAGCTATTTAGGGTATTTTTGCCTCTCCCTCCCTTCTGCCCTCAGCCACCAAAATGGATTCTGTGAGTGTTTCACGGTGTAATTTTGCAATATATGTTGTTTTTTTCAACAAAATCAAACAAAGTTGTGTTCTGGAATACAGCGTTCCACCCATTTGTTTTACTGTTGTTTTGGGTTTGTGTTGGAAACTGGATCACAGAATTTGTTTTAGTGCATTTTTGTAGACCCTGTTCAAGCTGGCTCTTGTTTGCAGTCTATTTACTGAGCAGCTTCACAAACAATTGCATCAGAGTGACCAAGGGAGTTGAAACCTGCAGCAGGGGAGCTGGTGACTTGAGCAAGTAGGAACTTCCTTTGAAATTTGCTTGTGTGCAAAGCCTCTTTGCTTTAGGATTTCAGCCATCAGAGGTGTGGGTTGACCTGGCTTTGCACTGGGGCACTGCAGTGGTTCAGTCCCTTTACCTCCCTTTTGGCTGCACAGCTCAGCCACACTCTCCCAAGTCCAGAGACTGTCCTGTGATTGTCCAAGCATGTCATCATTGCTCTGAGATCAGGATGGAGAAGAGTAACCTGACCTTGCTTCCTGTTGAGATAAATTTGCAGTGTGCCAAATGCTCTCCAGGGCTGCTTTTTTGATCTCTTAGGAGCTGTGGCTGCTGCATTTAACAACTGTTACCATGTAGTTTCTGTCCCCAGCATGAAACTTCCAGTGATATATTTTTGGAGCTCTGCAAGTTCTTGCTTTGACTTTGCCTAGGCCATTGCTGGCTCTGATACACTGGAAGGTGAAGTAGTTAAATGTTCTATCTGACCTGGAGGACTTAAAAAGATCCAGCACCAAAAATGACATCAAAAGGACCAAGCCTCATAAGGGTAGGATAGGGTTTCAGGAAATAATGATGGCATCAAATACTTCAGAAGAGGAGCTTGCTTGATAAACTGTTCCACAGACTTTCATCTTTCCAAAAGTCTGAGACTGAGCATAGAAGTTGAATTAACTAGAAAAATACCAGTAAAATATTTTAACTGAAAAATCTGAAATGAATAGCAACAGCAACCAAACAAGGTGTCACTCAGTGCCAGTGTAAACCCTGAGGCAGTGCTGGCATCAGGGTTTTCATTCTTTGACATTCAGTATTAAGTCTTCTCCTGCTTCTCATGTTTTGTTATCCTAAATTGGGATGGTAATTGTTAAGGATTTGTTTTAATAACTTTTAAAATTAGATCATGGCAATTTTCATTCAAAATGCAGTAATTTGTGATAATACAGAAACAGTGTAATAATTAGGTGTGTTATCCTTAGAGGCGTTGCTTCCTTTTGAAGACCCTTTGTAGTTAGCCTGCAGAATCTGTCACTGGGGCTCACAGGAGTTTTACCTGATTCTGGCTGATGCCCCTCTTCTGTGTGGTTTCTTTTTAAGAGGATGAGAAAACTGATCCTGCTGAAAAGTAGCCTAATGATTCTTTTTTCAGTTTCTTCCTGTGGAAAAAAAATCCTAATGCTCTCGAACAAAAACTGTTTTAGAGCTATTAATATGAATTGTGTTGGTGGGCATTCTTGCACAGAGGATTAGAAACTGTTCAAAATTCATTACAACTATCTTAAGTGATGGAGCTACAGAGAATTACATTCTGAATCTTAATAGCATTGACAGTGGGGGTCAGATTTCTGGTATTGTAGTGATAAAGTGGTGATAAAGCTCTACCTCAGCCCTCAGTTCAGCTCTCTGGTGTTTGGACTGAAGGACATGTGCACTGAGAGTGCTTGTCCCCTTAGGAGGAATGTGGATTTCCTTGGAAATTCCAACTAGTCATGAAGACATTGTAATAGCCAAATAAACAAGATGAAAATGTTTGCCTCTTGGGGAAATATTTGCGTTTTAACCCAGAAGACAATTTTTCTCATGTACACTTTCTACAGGACAGTTATGTGCGTGTGTAACATGGTACAGTCTGTGTAGTGTAATATTACAGTGCATCATTTTGTTAGCACAAGTAGAAAAAAGCTTTAAACTGATTTTTGCCTCTTCATAACAGCATTTCTCTTGTGTTTCAGAGCAAACTTGATGATTACCAGGAACGAATGAACAAGGGAGAACGTCTGAATCAAGATCAACTGGTAAAAACAAATTTAAAAATCCTAAGCAGATCTCTGTTCAATTGCTTTGTTATCGTTGTGGTGAGGAGTTTTTCCTGCCTCTCTCCTTTTTGGGGCTGGTTCTTAAAGTAGGTTGTTGCAGAGCTTGATTCAGCAGCAGTTCTGCAGTTGTAAATAAAAAGCAAGTATCGATTTAAATTCAGTTGTATGGTGCAAACATGCACGTTGATACTTCAGGAAATTACCAGATGCTCAGTCTTATGTGAAGTCAAATCCTTAACAATTATCTTCTGTGTCTAGGATCAACAGTGTTTATGGATGATTTTTAACACTGAGAAAGTGAAGGGACAAAAATGTAACCTCACTATTGCAGCTGTTGACACTTAAAAGAGTGAGCTGCTTCCCTTGGACCCTTGGATAATTTCATCTTCATTTTGGTGGTTCTGTGCCAGCTGAGAACTGAAATATCAGAGATCTGTGTATTTTTATTTTGTAATGGCCTGTTGTGAAGATAAACCACGATAGAGAACTGACATCATGTTGAGGACGAAATCTCATGTTTTTTATGAAGCCTGACTACCAGGCTTGATAAAAAAAAATGTTAGTTTGGAGAACTGCATTATTTTGTCACAGCAGGAATGTAAATGTCTCAGCCATATCTCCCTGGTTTGATTCTGATTTGATTCTGATTTGATATAATTTCTCAGTAATACCAAATGGGTTGAGGAATTTGGTTTGCTTTGGTGTAGATCAGAGTATGAGGTTTAAGAAGATAGCAGAAACAAAGATTTCTGGGGAAGGGGACATTATGCTCTGTATATTCTGGTTTTGGCTCTGACTGGAGATAACAATGCATTAATTCTCAAACTCTTGAGCAGTTCTGAGTTGCCAGATTGTTCTTCTTCCCAATTCTCCCAGTTGTTTGTTAGTTTTGGTCAGGAACTGGCTGCAGCCAAACACGAAACCAGTCCATCATCCATGTGAGCACGTAAAGGCATATTTCTATGTATGTTTAGCATATCTAAAGAAACTGGAGGCCCCAAGGACATACACAAGTCTTTGATATCTGGGCCAGTGAAAGTCTAAATTTGCCTTAACATAGTTGCAGTCCCATTCAGGGATCCTGTGTCTCACTTCAGAACTAAAAAATGTGGGAATTGATTTGTTGGAAGTATATATTCAGTTCTGTTGCTGATGGTTTACATTTGTGGTCTTTCTGGGTTTTTTTTTAAGGATGCAGTGTCAAAATACCAGGAAGTGACAAATAACCTGGAATTTGCTAAGGAACTGCAGAGGAGTTTCATGGCTCTGAGCCAAGATGTAAGTAAAGATCAAGCATTGCCATGTGGGTTATCCAAACACTTTAAACTCTTCCACTGAGGCAGTAGTCACCTCTGTTTACAGGAATGAATTGCTCTTGATTTCTTCTGTGTTTGACTGTCTTCTTCTGTTTTTTTTTTTATTAATTGATGTCAGGTTTTCTGAAGAATTTCTGATGTATGGAAATAAGAATAAATGTATTCTTGTTTCCATAAATGTATGGAAACAAGAATAGTGTAATTTTCTGACAGAAGTGTTGAAAATAGTGATTACAGAACCAGGTCTGTCATGCAACATTAAAGATGGTCACTTGCTGCCATTGGTAACATTTTCTTCAATGGATTTCATAGGGTTTTCATTTCTTGGTAATACAATCTGAAACTACATTATGGGACAATTTATTTTTGTAAAGGGTAAATTAATTGAATACTGTGAAATAGGTGTTTTTGGGTTGCTGTTTTATCAAGGATGCAGAATAATACTGTGATCAAGAATTAAGTTCTGAACATTTGGGAGTTCTGGAAAGAGCAGCAGCATTGGAGGAATTGGTTGAGTAGTGGATGTTAATGCAGCTGATGCTCTAAGGAGTGTAGTTAGCTTGTGGGCAGGCTGGGGTAATTTGAAGGGCAGCAGCATCCTTGTGTTATAAACTGCTTTCTACATTGGCTGTAAATTAATTTTTAGGACTAAGCCAACTTGTTTCTCTATTTTCTGACATTACAGTTCATCTGTGTTATTGGAATGTTAGTAATGGAGAACATTCTTTTCTGGATAAGTCTGTTCTGAAGTGTTTCTCTGGTCAGCTGACTGCCGAAACAAGCCAGTGAATGCAGGAGTACCAGACTGGTGCTCTGCTTTCAAACTTGGTTGTAATTTTTCCTGACTGCTGTTAGTTGATTTTAAGATATGTCTTTGATTTTTAAAAACAAAACTTGGATGTTTCATTTGGGGAAGTTACCATTATGATAGATTTTTTGGGAGAGAATATTACATTTCCAGTGAATTTGGGATGCTGGATGCTTGGATTAAGATGGAGAGTGGAAGAAACATCCTGTAGGTTCAGAGTCGTGCTGCATTTAGACCTTGTGGAAGGTTCAGTGCAGAGCACAAGGCTGCTGATGATGTGTCATCCTCTCCCTCCCTGCATCCATGCTCCTCACACTGGGAATGCTGCAGTGGATGCACATGCTTGTTCCCTGGGGTGTCTGACTGGGGATCTCATGTCCAAGAATTCGTTGAAATCCTTTTTTGGACTCGCTGATCCTGTCTGTCTCCCCAGCCTTTCATGGCAAAACATTCCATGAGTTCCCTCTCGTGGTGTGTGAAAAAACAGAGTACTTTTGTTTATCTGTTTTAAGCTGATCTCCTGGTAGTTCCAATGAATGCTTCCTGCTCTCGTGGGATATGGTGAATAACCTCTCTGTGTGGCCAGTGTGAACAGTCTGGATCACCCAGGCCTTTCCAAATGGAAGAACCCAACACTTAGGCTTTTCCCTTGCCTTCCTCTCTACCTTTTCTTAGCAATTAAAGACATTTCCAAACAGTTTTTCCTTGGGTCCATTCCAGATCCAGAAAACAATAAAGAAGACAGCTCGTAGGGAGCAGCTGATGCGAGAGGAGGCTGAGCAGAAGCGTTTGAAGACGGTGCTGGAGCTGCAGTTCATCCTGGAGAAGCTGGGGGATGATGAAGTGCGCAGCGACCTCAAACAGGGATCCAGCGGGGTGCCGGTGCTGACAGAGGAGGAGCTGACCATGCTGGATGAGTTTTATAAGCTGGTTTACCCTGAACGAGACATGAACATGAGGTGGGTTACAGCAAAGTGCTCCTCTTTCTAATTGCCAGTCAGTTAATGATGTATTTGCTATGGTAATTTAAAGACTCTGTAAGAAATTAACTCTTATTAATTAATTTTTAAGGTTGAATGAGCAGTATGAGCAAGCATCTGTTCACCTGTGGGACTTACTGGAAGGGAAAGAAAAACCAGTTTGTGGAACAACCTGTAAGTACGGTCTCTGCATGAAGAGACAGCACACTGAATTTGTGCCTGAACTAAAACACAATCTGATGTCAGAGAAGTTGGGCAGTTAATTATCTCTGAGGTCTTAAAAGGAACTACTTTTTCTCAGCTCTTAGCTGGACTGTAACAGTGACTTGTGAAGTTTGTACTCAGTCTGTGGTGTATTTTTTTATACTGGCTCAGCATTAGTATTGAAGCCCAGTCTATTCCTGCTGTTTCAGCAGTACTCTGCTGCTCGTGGTGCTCAGTGACAGCTCTTTGTTTTCTGCAAAGCTGGGTGTGAACAAGGTGGCAGTGTAATACGTACACTGACATGGCCCTCCTTAGTGGGATGTTCTCTCCCCCTCAGCTCCTGCAAAAAGTGTTGCAGTTTGGCCCTGTCTTCATTGATTAACTGCAGATCAGGGTGTGACCATGCCAGCCAGACTGCTTTTTATGGAAATAATTCCCAAATACCTGGCCTAGGCAACCAGTAATACTGCTTTGCCAGTGGGGCTGATGACTTTTGTGTTAAGGTGCCCCAGCATTGAGGGGAAGCACTGAGGGCAAGTGTTCTTTGCTTACAAGGGCTCTTTTGAGCCACTTCACCTCAGAAGAGCCCTCATTAATCAGGTGGTACCTGTGTAGATTTATTTTTATTGACAGTTAGTTGTTTTTGGAGGAAATTGTCTTACAGTAATGGTTTTAAGTAACAGGAATAAAAGTCTAGTAAATAAATTCATAAACTTGACCTCACTGTGAGGTGCTCCACAAAGCTTCTGAAGAGTTCTGTACTCTTAAGATCCTTCTTGCCCTTCAGATTTTTCTGAATGACAGTGGGTTATTTGTGGATTTATTGAATGTGACCCAATAAGAGAAGAAATCCTGGTGCTCATGGACTGGCTTGGGGCAGCAACATCTTCCCAGCAAAAGGGCCATAAAATGTACATGCAGTCTTTGGGAAGGAAGGAAAGAGAAGATGAGGAGGACTGAGGTGGTGCTGTTGTTTCCCTGTTCCATTTTCCCAGATAAAGCTCTGAAGGAGATTGTTGAACGGATTCTTCAGACCAGTTACTTTGACAGCACCCACAACCACCAGAATGGGCTGTGTGAGGAAGAGGAGGCAGCACCTGCACCTGCAGTAGAAGACACTGCAGCAGAGGCTGGTGAGCAGGGGAAGATGCCCTGTGGCTGACATGTTTGTGTTTTTCTGTCTTGTCTCTGCCGTCCTCAGAGTGATTAAATTGCAAATGCAGTGTTCATCTCTAGCAGTGAAACCATCCAGGATGAAAGTTCTGGCTGCCTGAGGCTTTTCCCATTTTTCAGTGGTTCCCACCAGTTTAAGCTGAGCTAGAAGGGAGCAGTTTCTGAAGCAGACAGTGTAATTACATACTTAAGAAACTTGGGAATGTTGTATACAATTTTAAGACAACTCAGGACATTTTTCCCTTTTGTGGAGAAGGCATAGCTGAACATAACTCTTGCTAGCAGGAATTTAATGGTTTTTTTTCTTTTCAATTTAAAGCTCTGAGAACATTTGTTATTACTAATTTTCTGTTAACACCCATGACATTTCTTCTTTATTCTGAGACACGAGATTTTCTCGTCTAACTTTGTATCTTCTAGGTCTATAGACGTAGAAGAGGGGGGTTGAGTCTTTATTATTGTTGTTTTGGGTTTTTAAATTTGTTTTTTTCCCACATAAATGGTTTATTTCTTTTTCTTCAAGAACCCGATCCAGCAGAAGAATTTACTGAGCCAACTGAAGTTGAATCAACTGAGGTATTATTCACTGAAACACTATCATTTTGTATACCTTCAATGCCACTTACTTTTACTTTCATACCCTTTCTTATTTTTATTTTAGTATGTAAACAGACAATTCATGGCAGAGACTCAGTTCAGCAGTAGTGAGAAGGAACAGGTAGATGAGTGGACAGTTGAAACGGTTGAGGTAAGATCTTGTGTACTGCAGGTAAAATTGCAATCCCTGTTTCTGCTGCTGGCTCACAATTCATGATAGGTTTTAGTATTGCATCCCTTCTCCCCCAATATATAAAAGAATACATTTATTGCAGTAGGCTTGGACTCGCTAGTCGATTCTTTAATTACATCCTTAGCTCAGGAGTACCTAAAATAAAAAGAAATAAAACCTATTTAGTCTGGCTAAGTTTGCAGAGAACTTGCTTTTCTTCATTAGTGGCTTGCTTGGGAAAACAGGGCTTAAAAGTCTTATGCTTAAAAAGACTTTAAGGACTTCTTTTGAAGTCTTTTTTCTTTTTGGAGAACTTAGCTGCAAATGTAGAGCTTTAAAGTTTATCTGCCCAGCTGCTGACAGTGTGGTGCAGTTGTGCTTTCATTAAGCACAGGGAGCTGAGAATGAGTAACTCAACTAATACCTACTCCAGATTGCTTATGTTCACCATTTGATGTTAAAATATGCTTCTGTGTGTGTACGTCTCTGCTTCCCAGAACCACAGCTCTTGGATTATCTCACTTGTTACTCCTTTGCACTTGAGTGCCTGTTCACTTGTGGTGTTTGTGGTGCACTGGTGTTGGGATCCATTCCCACATCGGTGATTTGCACTCAGACTTTGCTACATGTGCAAGTCCATGATTTTATTACACTGGAATTTGTGCCCCTGGTCTATGGGAAAAGACAAGCCCCCTGTTTGGTACGTTGGAGTTTGAGTTGGGTCTGTCTGGTAAAAACAAGTATGAGCAGCTTCTTTCAGGTGCTCGATTTTGGATTGATTTTAGCCTTCTGCAGTAGCAAATTGCAGATGGTCAGTTTTTTAGACTTCCTTGGTGCCTTTGGCTGGTTTTAAGTGTAGGAGTGGAATAAGTGTTCATCATCTTGTGAAGTGCTGAAACAACTGAGCAGCTGTTTTGATCTGATAAACTAATCTGGCTGATTTTACATTGAGTCTGGCTGAAATTCCTATTTTACAGTGTTGAAGACCACATAGAGATTTAATAATACTGAGGATGAGTGTGAGACTGCTAAAACTAGGTAGACAGCTTTGCTATGTATGTGAAGAAGTTTGGTAGTTCCTTGTCACAGTATTTATTTACTTACTTAAAAAACTCTTTAAATTATCACTGCTACTCACTGCCTACTGACTGTGTTTTAAGAATTATCTTAACAAACTGAAGGAACCCTCCAAACCTGTACATTGAAGTCATGCTTGGTTGGAGTGTTCTTAGAAGGCACAGTATTTAAAAAGTATTGATTAATTGGCTTCAATTATACCCATTTTATATCTGTGTTTCTACCAAGTATCCAGAGTGGTTCAGTTCTCTGTTGGTCTTAATGTAAGGAGTATGAATGAAGGCATAATTCAGGTTGTAGTTTGGTATCAGACAGATTTCAGAAACTCATCATTTCCTAGTCAGCTGAATTTGGAATTGGATCACCTTTGTTTTCATAGGACAATACAGAGAATGTGTGCTTCAACTGCCCTTTCTGTGCCAGTATCTTGGACATGGTAGAAAGGAATAATAAAGAAAAAATCAAAGTTGAGGCCTGTTTCTTCATAATAAAGAACTTTATTTTCTCAGCTGTAACACAAAAAAGGGAAATTGAGAATATCTGGCTGTAAAACTGTTCTTGCTGGCACCACAGTCTCATTTCTCAGCAGCATGCAGCTGAATTGTGCTTTGGTAAGATCATGAAACAGGATGTATACTGATAGCTGTGAATTTTGAAATCTGAAAGAGAACACTGGCTCAGAAGATCTCTGTAATTGTTCACTAAGGGGGAGGATATCATAAACTCCTCTCTCTTTCTTTCAGTAACCCTCAAGCACATGTGATACAGTCAGGATTTCTGTAGTGTGTTTATAGGCTGGGAAGTGGTGGTATCTTCACAAGGATGTTTTTTTGTGGTCCTTCCATAACTTTTAAGCTAAATAATTTGCTTGTGAATTTTCCAAGTGTATTTGGATTATATGATACTGTAATTTTGGGGAAAATGTCCTTTATTGGTAATAGTATTTATGGAGATTTTTTATTGTTGTTTTGTGGGGTTTAAATTTTTTTTAACCGCTTCTTCTGTAATTAGTGCCTGAGTCTGGTTGTACACAAAGTTCTCTGTGTCTTAGATTGTGGAACTTTGGTTGGATGGATTTTGTGTAGAATTGAAAACTGTTCTCAGACTAACGAAATGCAAGTTCATTCTGTTGGTTTGTGGTGTCATTAAACTTGTGGTTTTACCTTTCCTCCTCTTTTTTCTCTGTCCCCTGTCGGTCTCCTTGCCTTGTGTCTGGCAGCTGTGCTTGCTGACAAGGCTAATGTAACCTCACACAACTTGAAATTTGCTCATTGTTCCATCCTACTGTGCTTTACTTGGTCAGAGTGCCCTGGTGGTGCTGGTAAGGCTGAAGGAACTGTTCCTAACTGTTCCTTTCGACATCAGAAAAGGAGTATTGGAAAAGATCATGTAAAATATTAAATACCGTCTGAAATTACTGCTGTGCTATTTGTGAAAAAGGAAAATGCTGGGTGTTTTTGTCACTGTTGCGTGTTCTTGATGATTCTGTTGATTTTTTTTTCCCTTAAAGATACTGCATGGTTGTGAATGACTTGGACTCCATAAGTTGAGTGGTAGTGCTCAAATAACTTAGAGTACTTTTGATAACAATTATGCAGGAGATGAATAGCTGTTGGTTTTACCACTCAAGTTTCACCTGATGATCTGACTTGCACTTTTTCTTCAATTTTTAAACTTTGTCATGTGCAAAAGGTCTATATATGTGCTCTAGATAATTTTTTCCACTCACGGGCCTTAATTCTTAATTTGAAAATACTTTGTCATGTGCAAAAGGTCTATATATGTGCTCTAGATAATTTTTTTCCACTCGCAGGCCTTAATTCTTAATTTGGAAACGGTCCATAATGTGAAATTCAGGGACTGTTTGGTAGACCAGAGTTGTGCTTGGTTTCCAGGTGGACTGCCTCAGGGTATATTTTTCATGGGAATTGTTAAATTGCTTCTATGGATTGCTGCCAGTGGTGATTTAGGTCTGAAGGGGATCTCAGAGGACTGTAGGTTGTTCAGATTCTCTGTTTGGGATTTGCTCAAGGAACAAGCCATTGGAGTTGGTGAGGCAGCTGCTTGTGCAGAATGCTGTGGACAAACAAGATTTGAAATCTGGGCAGGCAGTAAGAATGCTGGAACATGCTGTAGGTTTCTTGGAGAAATTAACAAGAAACGTGCAGGCTTTGAGGGTGGATAGTGACATTGTGAGGCTTAAAGTTCAGACCTTTGTTATAGAATGGCTTGTGAATTGTCATGGCTGGGTACAGAAATCTGTCTTCTACAGTTGTAATAAGAAACCAGGTATTTTACATCAGTATTTTGAGCTTCCAGGTGCCTGTATGCTAATTTTATACCATGTGTAACTAAGTTTTAAGGCTTAGCTGTTTATCTGAAATGTTAGCAATGTTAGAAGGTGATTGAAATAGAGAAGTAATGATAAGAGACAATGGTATTTTTAAAGGGCATTTGTTGACATTGAAAATGGCACTTCTGGATTACAGGAGCTGCCTAAAGAGCAGGTGAGGGACTGGTTAGGGCCATTGAAGTGTAGCTCGACCATCGTTGTCACTGTCCGTTTTCAGACTGTTTGCTGATTGATGTTTGAGGTGCCCATGTCCAGCTTTGCTGGTTGCTCTGCTGTCTGATCAGGTGCTATCTGAAAGCCCATTGCAGTTTGTTCCTTTGTTGATGTTTGTCACTTTGGGATGTGTCTGGTAAATCTGAGCTTTCTTGCCCTCCCTGATCTGTGCTTCTGCTTCTGGGCTTCTGGTGTCCCCTCACGATGCTGTCTGGCAATCTTTGTCATGCAATGCTGCCTACTGTTCCTGAGACAGTAAATCAGGGAGCTAGGATAACAGTGGCTGTGAAAATTGAGCATTATAAAGTCTTCAGAAAGACCAAAAAATTCTGACTCCATGTACATTTACCAGAAAGCTGTGAGAAAATAATTGTTCCCCATTTATGCATATTTCTGAAGCTTACTCTTCCCCCACTTCCTTTAAATTTCCAAATGGTGATAAATCGCTGTCTCAAATCCTGGTCTAAAAAACTCCATGTGATAATAAACAAATACTTTTTTCATGGGGAAAAGAGTAGATAGAGAGAAATAAGAGCAGAGTGTGAGCTCTGTAATCCTGGGAGTGCTCGGATGAGTAGCTGGCCACAGTACCGACCTGTCTAGGATGTAATGCTGTCCTTCAACACCACTACAGCAATTCCATCATCCATAACCAGTCAGGCAATAGCCAGAAATGCAAGAACTCCTGAGTCACTTGAGTGCAGCGCTGCCTTGGGCTGAAATTGCAGTTGGTTGTTGTCTCTTGTTAGGTTGTAAATTCCCTGCAGCAACAGACACAGGCGACGTCTCCTCCCGTCGCGGAACCTCACGCGCTCACTGCTGTGGCTCAGGCAGACCCCCTGGTCAGGAGACAGCGAGTACAGGACCTCATGGCACAGATGCAGGGCCCCTACAACTTCATGCAGGTATTTCTGTACTCTGAACATTCATCTGTTTAACCCACACCAGTATGGATTTGACTTTTAGTATTTTTTTATTTTTTTCTATCCAGGACTCGATGCTGGAATTTGAGAACCAAACACTTGATCCTGCCATTGTATCTGCACAGCCCATGAACCCAGCACAGAGTTTGGACATGCCCCAAATGGTTTGCCCTCCAGGTTTGTAATGGTAAATCCTAAAGAGAAATACTGGGGAAGACTGCAAGTCATCTCTTAGAAACGCTTCAGTTGCTGCTGAGTAATAAAAAGGTCACCACAAGTAATAGTACAATCCTGTTATAGTGTGTTTTTCTCAGAAATGTAGTTGTACTGTTTTTTAGGCTTCCACTTCTCACTTGCTTATAGGTTTTGTTTGGAAATAAGGAGCAGCTAAAGCTTCTTTGGTTTTGCTTTGGATTATTTTGGACAACTAGAAAAAATGCTCTGCATGGAAACAGGAGATGGTAATTTGAGTATGGCTTTGCCTTGCTTAAGGCTTCATCATCTTCATGATGATCAGCTTTCACATAAATGCTCAGAGCAGATAATAATGCTATTCTGTAAAAGGTTTGATTTTACTGTGTAATAAGTGAAATTATTTTCCTCCAGTTCATGCTGAGTCAAGACTTGCCCAGCCAACCCAAGTTCCAGTGCAACCAGAAGCTACACAGGTAAAACGTTTAGTAAATTCTGGTTTGGGTTTGAGTTTGATATTAGACCTGATTGAAGTTGCAAAAGGATTTATTTTCTACATACATGAGAAACTCTTAAGAAAAAGCTGAAGGTCCAATTTTGGGAAATTGGTGATCTCCAGTGCTGCTTACAAGCACTACTAATTCCTAGTTTCATTCTCTTCCGACATTGCAAATTGCCACTAATGGGAAGCAGGTAGTTTGTTACTTCTTTGCAACAGAAATGCCAAAACCACTTGGTTACAGGGCAGCCTGTGTCTGTTCCAGTGAGTGTCAGGGCACAAGTAGATCTCATGCATTAACGACACAGTGTTTTGTTCTGGTTGATTATTCCCACTTGCTTGGATTGGGATTTTACCCTGGAGTTGTAGAGCAGTCAGTGTGAGTTGAATGGGGTTTCCACTTGAGCTTTCAGGCATCTCCTAAACTTGCTTCTGCGTTGTATAAATGAAGTAGTTACTTTGTTGTTAAGATGTTTCGTTGTGTGGTGATTAAAGATGTTTTTGTTAAGCATGTGTGATACCTCTGAGGACTCTGCTGGTCTCAGTAATGGATCTGATCCCTGTAGGTATTAGCAAACCGAAAAAAAATCTGTATAGATGATGGATCTCACAGTACAGGCAGTATAAATTGCTTCCTTTGGCTTGTCCAGATTGGGTCTGCAAGGTTTAAGTCACTCATTTATATAGAAACAGGAGTGAGGGAATTATTTCTTAAATTTCCTCTGTGTGTACCTCCTGAAATGCTGATGCTCTCCACAGTTTTGTTGTCTCATAGGAGAAGACTAATTTTTTTGGGCAGAGGGTTTTTTTCTCTGCACTAGTTTTTATTTTGTTGTTAGGTGATGTCTGACTTAATCCAATGGGTTTTTTTTTTATTTCCCTTATTAGTGCTGCCAGTGATTCTCTTGAGGATCTTGCAAGCAGTAGTTAAACTTACCCTTGGCTTTGGAACATTCCAGTGTGATGTGAACACCCCCATCAGTTGTTATCCATTGCCTCTTTAACTCCCCAGTACAGCCTTTAATGCAAAGTGCTTTGCTTCCCTGGCTGGACTTTCCCCTGGGCTCTCTGTATGGGAGCAGAGCTTGTAAAAATGTAAAATTCAGGCCATTGGAAGCCAGCCCTTGTCTACTTGTGCTTGAGCTTGGAGCTGTGTGGTGTTAGAATGTTGGTAGTTAAAAGATAATTATTTTGTACTGGTTTGAAATGTGCTGGCTCACGGATTAGAGAGTTCCATCCACTCCAGAGTTCTCTGATACTTTTTACAAAACTGTGTGTGAGCATCAGCTGACTTCTGGGGGCTTTGGGGTTTATTTTGTCAGGTTCCCCTGGTTTCTTCTACAAGTGAGGGATATACAGCTTCCCAACCCATGTATCAGCCTTCTCACACAGCAGAGCAACGGCCACAGAAAGAATCAATTGACCAGATTCAGGCAAGTCAGGTTTCACAGGGGTGGGAAGAACTCTTGATTGCAGGTGGCATCAAATGTTAGTCTGTGTTTCTTAGTAAATAACATTATTGTTAGTTGATAGGGATGCTTAAATTTCAAAATTCTGAGCCTGTCTGTGACCAGTAAGTCCTCCATAGCAAGACTTTTCATTTGGAAGCTTGTTTGTTTAGTTGGATGCAGCATGCCAACATCAGCATGGGAGCATCAGTGTTGTTGGCATAGGAAATGGGATTTATTTTTTTCACAGCAGTTAGCCTGTAAACTTCTTCATTTCCCCCCTCTAGATTTTTCTAGTTGTGTTTCAAGTTAATGAGGGAGAAGGTGGTTAGGTTTTTCCTCTCATTGTGCTGTTGTGAATTAGGCTGTTGAGCTGAAGTACAAAACAGTCATTAGTAGAGGTGGAGCTGCGGCATTGCCACTCTTTTTTAAGCAAAGTTTTTGAAGTTAAATTTTTGGTAGCTCAAGAGCTAAAGTGTTGTTTGTTTTAATTATTAGGCTTCCATGTCCCTGAATGCAGACCAGACCCCATCCTCATCATCACTTCCCACTGCATCCCAGCCACAGGTGTTCCAGGCTGGGTCCAGCAAGCCTTTGCATAGCAGCGGAATCAACGTCAATGCAGCTCCATTCCAATCCATGCAAACAGTGAGTAGGAAATCAGCTCTGGATCCCTTTGGCTTGGTGCTCATTCCTTGTGGTGGAATCAGTCATGCAGCTACATATGATAGTCCTTGGTTATTCACATTTCTAATTCTTTACAGAGCCATAAAACTGAATTTCTGCTCTTACAGGTATTCAACATGAATGCACCTGTTCCTCCTGTGAATGAGCCAGAAACCCTTAAGCAGCAAAACCAGTACCAGGCCAGTTACAACCAGAGTTTCTCCAATCAACCTCACCAAGTAGAACAATCAGATCTCCAGCAAGAACAACTCCAGACAGGTAAAATTCTTGTGGCCTTGGTAGAGCAGGTGATAAGTCTTTGACATCCTAGATGATGGAACAAAGCATGTCATAGGTTCCCTTGCAGGCCTTTCCCCTGAGCACTACCAGGTTTTGTTACTCTGTCTGGGTTTGAATGTCCAACGGGGAGTGCAATTCAGTATATCTGTCTCCAGTTGTTAAGCCACTTGACTGAGGCTTATATGGCTTTAAAAAAAACCATGAACAGGATTATTCTAAAGATGGAAGTACTAGAGTGAAGTACTGGCTTTGCTGATGTTAAGGTTGCTTTAAAAAAAACAGTGCAATTCGAGGTGACATTCTGTAAAGGAAATGGTAAGCCAGAAATGAGAGCAAATATGGATTGCTTCTCAAGGTTGATGTAAGGTCACAAAGGCCTGGAATCTTGTGCTGAAATCATTGAGATATGATTTGAGTTCAGCAGGCAAAATGCTTTCCAGGTTAGCAATTTAAAAAAATAAAAGCCTGTGTCCGGAGCTGTTTTTCCTCGCAGCACTGCCCTCACTTTCCACTGAAGTGCTAACAAGTACTGGATGTGGAACAAGGAGAAAGAGCTTTATCCTTTTGCTCTGTAACAGAACTGTTGGGTTTAAAGAGAGATATGTGGGAGCATAAAGAAACCCAGACTTTTCTACTTCTTTTTCCCCCCGATTCCCCTGCAGTGGTTGGTACCTACCATGGTTCCCCAGACCAGAGTCACCAAGTGGCAGGAAACCACCAGCAGCCTCCCCAGCAGAGCACTGGATTTCCCAGGAACAGCCAGCCTTACTACAACAGCCGGGGGGTGTCCCGGGGGGGATCCCGCGGGGCCCGGGGCCTCATGAACGGTTACAGGGGCCCAGCGAACGGATTCAGAGGTGAGCAGCTCTGCAAAACCCTCCCTGGGCTCTGCTTGCACCGGGGGGAGCACCAGCTCAGGAGAGCGGGTGTTACACTGACCTGCCGTTGGGAGACTGGGGCAGTAGCCCTGTGAGACAGCCAAACTTGTAGTAAAAACCTTATGGGTTGTAGATAAGCAGCTTAAAATTTAAGTGTGTGTTTGGACTCTGTTACAATACCACAGTAAGCATCTACTGCAAATGCAGAAGTATCCACACATCAAGCTAGGAATTCAGATGCAAGTTGGTGTTTCAGAAATGCTTAATGTTACCACAGTGTGTTTTGTGGTTCATCAGAATGAGAATAGGCTGGTGTGTATGTAGAAGTACAGGAACACAAGAGTCCAAAAGTCACTAGGCCAAGGGAATTAACAGGACTGGAGGAATGATAGTGTAGTTCTGGATAGATAAGAGAATGTTCATGATTCCTGGATCTTACATGTGTGGCTGTCAGCATTACAAGGAGGTTTATGTTAAAATAGGACAAAGATTTCCTTGTCACATGTTCTGGGGTTACTTACAGACTCAGGTACTGTCTTCCATGTTCTCTTCCCCTCCTGTGGCTGGGGAATAGAGAAGAAAGGTGTGTAATAAAAATACAGCTGATTGGAGTGTGAATGCAGTAATCACAGCTGGGACATCTAAATCCTACCTGGGATCATATTTAGCTCTGAACTGAATGTTCTGTAAATCAGACCTTGGGTTACTCTGAGGAATGCACTGAATTCTGCCTCCTCCCAGTCCTTATGAGGTGCTCATTCTCATTTCTTGTGATATATTAGCTCTGATGTTGGAGGCATTGACTTGATTTGCAGGTAAACAGCCCTTGCTAAAGGGATGGGATTTTTTTAAAGTTTAGGTAAAATGCTGTTGCTGCTTTTCTTTCTATAGTAGCAGAAGGTCAGTATTAAGTGCAGCTTTGATTTCCAAGTGAAAGATTTGTGCCCTGTTCCTTAGGGGGATATGATGGCTACCGTCCTTCCTTTTCCAACACTCCAAACAGTGGCTACACACAGCCCCAGTTCAATGCTCCTCGGGATTACTCAAACTACCAGAGGGTAAGCTGCCTGTGGGGAGGGAAATACCTGTCAAAAGCACTAGAGCTGTTAGTGACATCTTCCTCTGGGACTTCCTTTATTGCTCAGGAAGACAAACTGCCCCTGTGTAGTTTGGAAAAGTTGAACACTAAATGCATCTATTTATATTTCTTAGTTACATTGAGCAACACATCCTGTAACTGGAGAGAGCATTTGTCACTGCCCATTTTATTACAGCTGCTAGGCACTAGTGGAAGTAAGAATTTATTTTTTAAAGATCATTTTCTACTAATAAAATGTTGCATGTTGAAGTTACAGGTGTTTTGTCAGTGCATATCATTCTAAAAGGTCCTTATTTTGCTGGCAATTAATAACAGGATGCCCAGGTTTTATGTTGTAACTTTTTTAATTTCTTCGCTTCAGGATGGATATCAACAAAATTTCAAACGTGGCTCTGGACAAAGTGGACCTCGGGGAGCTCCTAGAGGTAATTTCCTGAGTAGAGAATAATTGATTTGGGTTGAATGGAAGTTTCTGGGCCAGCTTTTAAAGTTCTGCACTTAGAAGCAACCTCACTCCTTACTCAGCAGCTCACAATTAAGAATAAGCTGACTTGAATTACTGGGGTTCTATGAACTGGTGGTGGAAGTTAAGTTGGCTGTTAAATGTGGAATTCTTGGAAAAGAAGCTAAAACAGCAATTGCTGTTGACATTCAGATATGGCAGAACTACATAACTGTTTTATTAACGAAAGCCTTGGGAAACAAACCCGTGAGGCTGTAGTTAGGCTTCTAAATTCTATTTTCATCACATTTCCTCTGGTCTTTTTCTTAGTATATCTTTGATGATGAGACTGTTCTGTCTCAATACATGCATTGCCATGGGGGGCAGCTCAAGGCTGTGCCCTGCATCTGTGGAACCCCACATGGTAGTTCAGTTTTGAGGGGTTTCAGTTTCTGTCCCTGCCTTGGTCCTGAAAGCCCTGAGGTGTGGAGCTGAAGCCTCTGGAGTTCAGTGCTCCATTGGGCTGTGCTGAAGCTGAGAGTGTGTTTTAGGAAGCACAACAAAGTCCCACTGAGTTCAGACCAGAAGATTTAGGACTATTTTTAACCAGATTTCCTGCGGTTTTAGGAAGCACAACAAAGTCCCACTGAGTTCAGACCAGAAGATTTAGGACTGTTTTTAAACTAAGCAGATTTCCTGCACAATTCAACCCCCTATTTGTGTTTTCTAGGTCGTGGAGGGCCCCCCAGACCAAACAGAGGGATGCCTCAGATGAACGCTCAGCAAGTGAACTAAACACATTCACAGGATTCCGTTCAACGCCAAAAACACGCTGGCCAGTGTACAATACATGTTACCAGAAGAGTTATTATCTATTTGTTCTCCCTTACAGGAAGTTTGTTGTAAAGGGACTGTTTTCATTACCCATAATGACAGGACTACAGTTGCCAGCTTTATATTCCCTGGATATTGAAAGGAACGAAACAACGTTTACTCTGCATGTTCTGTCCTAAGCATCATCTTGAGCCTTGCACATGAGATTCAGATTCCTCACCCTTGCTAAGAATAAAATAAAAAGGCAATTTTCAGGGTGATCCAATCTCCATGGTTAACTGAAGTGGCAGGAAAAAGCAAAGACTCACTTCTGTCATTTAAAAGTGATTTAACAAAATTCAGATAAAATCTGCAAATCCATAAAGATTTACTGTGGTGGCAGTTAAAAAAACTTAAATGTTCCCATGAATGGATGGAAAAGGTGAAGTGTGGCTTGGTAGAACAACTGCATTTCAGCTTTTTCTTACTAAATCGAAGCACTGAACAGTTCAAGATGTGTAGTGATGCAATTGCCCTAAATAGACAGGTGGGCTTAGAGGCAGTTTGTGACAAAGAAGAGGCACCCTTAGCTGCAGCACTCCTCATCACCAGGGCCCTGATTCCTGTGGCTATGGAGTTAAGAGCGCTTGCATAACTGCTAATGTAACTGTGTAATTAATTTTTTTTTTAGGAGACAAGGTGAAAAACAAAAAAAAAAGAAAAAGAAAAAAAAAAGGCTTTGATTTGGCACTTGGACAAAATTTTGCAACAAATCCTGAGCTATAATCTGGATGGCCACTGTATATTTGATGTGAAGTATTTAGATATCTCTTTGAAACACTTTTAAGTTTCTTTGATAGCAATGACTTTTGTAAGGATTGGTATTCTCTATCATTCCTTATGACTTGCACATTGTCTGTCACTAATACTTGACCTTGCTGTATTATCACCTAAATAACTGATGCCGGTACTGATGGAAATCCCTAATGGATAATCATAACACTTTTGGTCACATGTCCTTTTGTCTTTCCTGCAGCCTTGAAGGTTTTAAGAAATCTCAAAATGCCCGCTGCTGCTGCCCTTCCAATTGCTGTCTTTTGAAAAGCACCAGTCTGTGTTTGAGTTGATTTCCCCTTTTCAGGGAAATGACAGCCAGCAGTTACAGTTCTAATGGTATAAGCAAGATAAATAAAACATGTTTATAAAAATTGTATCCTGGAACACTGGTTTTCAACGGCTGAAACAGATTCAATGTGATGGGGTGACATTTCATAAGGTTTTTTTTTTCTTTCTTTCTTTGGTTTTTTTTCCCCAGTAGTCTCTTTTTCCTGACTAGATGTAAAACCCTCCTCCTGTTTTTTTGGTTTTATTCTACTAGCTGTGACTTCTGGGAAACTTTTCTTTTTGATGGACTTTTCCTTTTTTTTTTTTTCATCAAGGCAGCAATGTATAAAAGAAATGGCATAAGCCTAGGAGCTGGAAAATACCAAGTCTTATTCAAGTTTTACTGCATCCTTGTGGTATAATCTTTGGAAAAATCACTTGTGCCTGCCTTTTGCGCACATGCACTCTCTCTGCAGTGGGGAGAATATTTTGATAGCTGCCTCCATAGAGGTGTTGGTAGTTCTGTTGCATTCTATAGCACGTGTGGGAAGAAAAGTGCTATATTCTCTGTTAAGTATTGCTCATCAAATAATTCCTACCTGTGGAAAGGTGAAATTAAGGAACAGCTGTGTGGTGTTTAACTGTTCTGTACAAAACTGAAGGTTGTTTTCACTCAGAGGGTCATTTCTACTTTGTATCACAACTGAACTTTCAGAACTTGCAGTCAGATACTTTTGACTTCGTGGTGAAGCAGTCTGGAACTCCACACAAATAGGTGGGATATCACTTTTCCATGTCCTGTGTGAAGAGCACAAATGAAAAATGTTTTCACTGCGGGAAGTGATAAGCTTGTGAAGACCATATTCCACACCAGGCATCCTGAAACGGGGCTGATGTCTGGAAGCAGCAGTTTGAGTCAAGGCCTAGAACATTCCTAAACTGCAGTCCGGTGAGAAGTTGCTGTTCTGTGTCTTTTTTAGGAAGCTATTACTGAGATAATAGTCCCAACTGTTTTTTAACTGGAAAAAAAATAAAAAGACAAACCTTTTCATGTTGAACTGATGTAGGAAAACAGTGAATTCTTTTAATTATTTCATTTTTCTTCATGCATCAACTTTTAAATGGTTGGCAGAACACAAGCTGCTCAGCTTTCTCCATTGCACACCAAATGCTCCTTAAGGAACCAAGTGTAGCTTGTCAGTAAATGTGCACCATACTCAATCAGAGACCTCTGAACGGGTCAAAACATTCCACCTTGAGTTTGGGGGCTTGGTTTGGGGTGTTTCAGTTGAATTTATTAATAAAACACTGAGTCTCTTCATTGAGAGACAAGTTTGTAAATCTCTTGCATGCCAGTGGCCTTTAGAGCAGCTGCCCTGCTGGTCTAGGGAGAGGAGGAACAAGTCCCCGAGATGGGAGCTGGGAATCTGCACGGAGCCTTTGATAAAGTCCTGAAACATCAGCTGGGGTCAGCCTGTGTTCTCAGAGCCCTCGCTGCTCCTCTGGCCTGCTCAGGGCAGCTCTCAGTTTCTACTCCATGGCTTGGTTCTAGGTCTGAGCTCCCTCCAGATCCCAAGCACTCCTAGGTATGTTTTTTCTGGAAAAGGTCCTATTTAGAGCAAATACTGTTGCCAAAAGTTTATGTTGAAGCAGAGCCGTGGCAGTTTGGGGCTGGTTCTGGTGCTGAGCCTCTTCTGGATGCAGGGATGAGCAGTGTTTTCCATGGGCAGCTGGAGTGTGATCCTGTGGCTGGAAGGAGAGCGTGGGACAGGGCTGGGTCTGAGCCTCTTCAAACTCCTGCCTTCAGCCTCTTGCTTTCTCTTGGCTGCAGTTCAAGGGTTTCTGAGCAAGTGATTTTTAAATCCCTGAAATATTTCAGATCTTTGTGTGTGTTCTTACTGTGTCTGGGAAACTTGGACCTTCCTAGACATCCTCCTCATGGAAAGCTGACCCAGAGATCATGAGCGGTTGTCTTGTACCTGAGGCCAGCCTGCTCCTGAATTTTTCTCCTGTGTTTTTGCTGTGTACAGGCTGTTTTCTAAGAACAATTCACCAGTGCAGCTTAGGGATTATGCTGTGGAGAGGGTTCTAAAAGTCACTTAACCCCTGTTTTCTTCCCCAGATCCTCTTTTGTGTGCAGCAGTCTCTGAATCATCAGGCAGAGTAGTTGGAAGAGGATTGTTAGCTTTTGTTACTTAACCAGACAATGTATCCTGCTGGGACTTACCTCTCAGAGAACCTCATGTCCTTAAAATTGTGTCTTCTCAAAATGTCCCACCCAAGTTTTTAGGAAGATTTGGTTGTTCCAGGTCTTTGGAGAAAGGATCGCGCTTCCCTTTCTCCCAAATGGCATTTGAGTAGAGAGAAGTTACTGAAGAGACTCTAACAGCAGATAAATACTGCAAAAATGATAAATTATACTGAAATAGTTCTTAAAATTCATATGATTAAGAACAAAGAGGGAAAAATCTTTGTGGATGCAGAACTCTGGCTGGAAGAATCTTGATATTCCTCTGTGAGGCTGCAGTCACATCCTGGGAAATCCAGACCATCCTTCCTGCTGATGTGAAACTGTTCTTGGGTGAAGTTCATTGCAAAGTGTTGACATGGACGCTTGAGCTGGAGCTGAGGTTTGTGACTGTGTGAAGGAGGCTGGTTTAGTTTCTAAAATCCGGGCACCTGTTTCTCCAGTTTCCCATCTGCACCGAGCATGGATGGGACTGAAAGGTTTCCCTTCACCTGAGCTGGCACCAGTGAACGTGCAGGGATGTGTGGGAAGGTGCAGGTGTCCCTCACTGATGGCCCAGAACATCTGGAGAGCAAGGAGGAAACGAGCCCAAACAACAGAACTTAGAGGACGATTTCCTTATTTAAATCTGGCCTTCAATGTATTTGTGCTTATTGTCTGCAGCTTTGCTGGAAGCTCCCTTCTAATGGTGTTGTTCCTGACATGACAGAATTTGTTCAAGTGCATCTGAGCCCTCCGTTGGCCTCGCACTGCTCTTGGCTGTTGTGGAGTCAGTGGCACAACTTCAGGGAAGGAGCTTTTGACTTTGACAGAAATAAGGGAGCTTTGGGAACATTCCCTTCTTTCTGTCAGCACACCTCTCAGTCATGGAGAGGGCCAATTGCTTAAACTGCAGCATTTTCCTGTTGGCCAATCCATTTTTGCAGAGGGAGGGAGGTGGGGAAGGTCCTTCAGGGGTGTGGTTTTGGTGTGATGTGGCAGAGTGTGATGAGAAATTTCCTTTTCTAGACTTCATCTAAGGGCAGAGGTGCTATTCTATGAACTACTTTCAGAGCCTTTTCGAGTAGAAAGGTATTAAATGAAATTCATGGCTCTCTGGATCCAGCCTTAAGGGAGGGAAGGAAATCTGTTTTCCAAAATCCACTTCCTAAAAGCCACTTAGAGTAGCACGTAGGAGAACTGCATTAGGAAAACTACAGCCTAACTTGGCATTTGTTTCTGAATTTAACCTTTTTTGCTCTCGCTGCAGTTTTATTAAAAGCAAGATAAGATTCTCTTCCCCTCTTTAATACTCACAGAAGAGTCAGAGGGGTGTAACTGGCTCGGTTCCAGCCCTGCTGGCCCATTCCTACCCAAGGGAGGATCAAGAGGACACCTGGAATTTTGGTCTCAAGCTAAATTTTAGGAAATACCCGTTAGACTTTTATGAAATTAAAATGTACTTCCTCTTTTGAAGCTCTTGGATTTTAGAATGAATTTTAGTAATGCTTCTAGCACATAAGTGTTGAGAATTTTTAGTTTGTTGTCGGGTTTAAATTTTCTGATGGCCTTAAACAAACCTGTATATATGTCTTTGCAGTTCTTTAACTCAGCGTTGGAAACAAATTGGTCCATGGCTTATGTAAACACTTGACAAATAAATCTATTTAAATGTTTTATGTCCCTCCCTTTTAAGCAAATATTTCGTAACTAAAGGGATTGTCTTGCTACACTTCTGTTTCGTTGGTGGTTTTGTCTCAGTGACTGGGTTTAACTGGGTTCACCTAAAGAAAAAAATTGTTCTACAGCCTTTATGATTATTAATTCAGTATTTTTATCATATTTTTGTTACATTTTGAAACAACCCCAAATACATCCACTGGTATTAAACACGTTTTTCCTACGCTGTCACCTGGTTTTAAATACTTTATTGTTTGAATGTTCAAGTTAAAAACAAAACAAAACAAAAAAAAAGCAGTATTAAAAGCTAAGAATAAATCTATCTATGCAAATAGCTGGGCTCAACTTTGGTAATAAATGAAATAAATAAAATTCCGTGTGCTGAAACCTTGCTGGCATTTCAGCTCCGGTTGAGAAATCATTTTCTTGTTGCTGCTCCATGGCTGTGCAGCTTGGGATTTTGTAGGGAAAACTTTCAAAGAGCTCTGCTGGATTTATGAAGAAGCAGAGTTAAACGTCAGCAGCTCCCTCCTCTTCCTGAGGAGCCGGATTCCTGATATTCCTGATATTCCATGGGGGGTCGCTGAGTGTCCTGTAACAATGAATCCTGAAGATGTGTTCTTTCCTGGGTGCGTTCTGCTTGCTCTTGTTTCCTTGGGAAAACTGCCTCCAGATGCCCTTATATATATAGATAGATAGATAGATAGATATAGATATATATAGATATACACACATATATATGTATGTATATTTGGGTTTTGGGTTTGTCATCTCTCCCCCAGCAGCAAAGGCCACCCAGACTCAGAGTTGGCAGGTGTGGAGTTATCTCTATAAAATAATTTCAATTTATAAAACCTGCTCTTTGTGCCCACACGCGCCTGGAGGGGTCACAGGCAGGATTTGTTTAGAATAAATCGCCAAAAAAAGGAAAGGAAAGGAGAAAGGAAAGGAGAGCTGTGGGCGGTAGGGGCCGCTCTGTGTCCCGCAGGGATTTTGGGAGCCGGCTGGGCGCAGGAGTCCTTTCCCATGTGAAGGCTACACCCGGCCACTGGGAAGCACAGGAAGCGCTGGGAAGCTGGGAAGCACAGGATACGGGGCACGGGCGTGTGGGCATTTACACAAATGCGGATTTACACACACACACCTGCGGACTCGTCCCGCAGGCGGCCGCCAAGGGCAGCCCCGGGGTCCTCCCACGCT